CATATATGTACATGTCACACAAATATATAGCACATAGAAGAGAAGAATCTAATAAGGCAATAATGTCTTATACCCCTAGGAGAATGACCTAAAGTAGTTTACTTGAATTTTGTCAAACATATTACTAAATGAAAGAAAGTTAAAGACCTATCACTATCCTCAACTATTCGGTCTATTGACTTACCACCAATACAACATTTAACCAAATTCACACCCCCCTACAAAATTTGTGGCTTTTGTTTATGCTCATGCAAGTTGTGTTTTATGGGTTCAAATTTCATGGTGGTGATAATTGACATCATAATCTATGTTACAAAGTATTACAAAAGTTTCCTTGGATTGCAACTGTCAAATACTAGTACAACCCATGAGATATGAATATGCATGAATAACATAATGGTTTTTTTCTATAAAGTATTTTCCTAACATAGAGACGATATCAATTGTCACCTTACAAAATTCATACTTAAAGTTATACAGGATGAAATGGAAACAATTAGTTTAAATAGTTTGAAACAATAAAGTGAGTCAAAACTTTGTAAGGAGGTTGAACGAAATGAATGAATTGAGGCAATAAAGTTGAATTTATCCAAACAAAAAGATAGTTTCGAAAATATAGAATGACTTTGTTCAAACCTATGACAATGTCTTTGTATCGAGTCATGTTTATGATCCTTGTTTCTTACACTTACCTAACTAACATGGTGCTTCTTCGATTCTTATTACAAATTGTTATTACTTCATGTAACTCGATACAACATTTGCTCCCCACCCCCCTCAAAAAAAAAAACAACACAAACACGAAATATATTAGCACAATATCATAGTCTAAGTCCATTTTAACTACCAAGTCAATAAACCCACAATGCGGTATCTATTGTGTGAATGAAAGATGCATCCTAATTTTATTTTTCGGACCACTAAATTACAGATAAGGTATTTTAGGTACTGTAGATCAATGAGCAAACAACAAAGCAACAAAGTGGACACGTGTTGCCTATCCGTAGTCCAATAGAAGCATAATCAAAAGGATATACTCAGGATTGAATGGAATAAAGGGGAACCCGCATACACAATGACATAAGATGGACAGAGCAATCTGAACCCTGTAGCAGTGTGAGTGAGTCTGCAGCAGTGCAGCAACAGCTGCAGCTGAATGAGTACAGCTAGCCGATGAGGCTGAATATATATTTTTTTTTTCATGAAAGAGAGTTCTCGAAAGACGATAGAGATGTAGTGCTAGAGCATAGGATAACTGTTAGAAAGCGAAAGGCAAGCAGAAATGTAACGCTTATGTTATTGTGCTAAAGGCTCTCTGGAGTGCTAAAGGCTATAGTATTCTAATTAACTTTCTTTTGGAAAAAAAAACTGGAGCACTTTATGTTTATTTGTGTTTGAAATTAGAACCCAAATATAAGAAATGACACAAGTAGATTCAGCTGAAAAGGCTATTATGTATTATGATGTTTTTGCAGTTTACACCAGTATATATTATATTATGATAAACATCAGTGGTTATTTTCTCAAAAATATAAAACAGTGGTTATAGTTCTTGATATGAAATAGTAATTATGAAACAAATACATGTATAACTATTGGTGCTTTTAGTATGAAATATCTTTTTGCGTATTAAGATCACACTTACAATTTATTCATTCTTCATTCACAAAGGACCGAAACTTGAAGCTCTGTTAGGTAGAAAACAAGGCAACAACCCCTACAATGATCGTCGTACACTGCTGTCATACATAAAACAAATTTACAATAAATATCACATACTTCGTCTAAGTTTAGTAAAAATTAGTATGGTCAATCCAGATACCTTTTTGGTTGCTTTTCTAAATAAAGGATAAAACTTCGACTACATGCGTCCCATGGATCTTCCTGCAGTTCTGTATGGAGGGAGTATTGCGGATGAGAGAAAAGGTTGCGTATTCATTGAAATACATATTAGGAGATAAAAAAGAGATCTCTATACCATCTACGGGTAGTAAAGGCTGGAACTTTGTTTCCTTATCTAAAGAAAAAGAGATGCATTGAAGTAGCACATATACAAGAGATATACCAAGAAATTTCGTCATTTTTAGATATTATTAAAACACGAGTAAACCATCTGCACATATCTGCTAAGTACACCATCAGTATTCACCTGTTGCTTATGTGGTAACATTGTATCGAATATTATGTCAATATACTTAGATCGTGTCCTGCCGTACCAACCAAAGATCCATTGTAATATAATTCGACAAGTTAAAGGTGCACGCAGATAAGAACAACGTTTCTGAGTCGAAGAACAGGCACATGAACGGTTGGTCCAGAGATGACGACCGCATATCTCGTTTTTGAGAAACGGTTCATGCAGTGCTTATAGCAGCTACAGTTCTTTTCAACGTATGAAATCAGATTATTATTCCCAGCACAATTCCAAGAGATTGTTCATTCAGTGCAAATACATTTTTTTCTAAAAAAAAGTGTAAATACTAAATGCCCTTGTCGGGTCAATGCGTCGACTTGTAGTTAACCAATTTTTCTCTCTATGAGAGTACATGAGTAGCTAAGGTAGAACTAATAGTTTGTTTGTGCTGTCGTGTGAAAATCTTCTCTGATGCTTACAGCAACCTACTAAACAGATGCATATACAACTGTCTCCGTTAAATATGAGCAGTAGCTCACCAATATTATATAAAAAAAACATAGTACGCTCATGAGTCATGCATACCTGGTTGCCCGAATTCTAATGCAACAGTTCCGTCTCCAAATAGAGATCAGGCTAGCCGACAGAAGCACGCCCATACTCCCTATGGCTCAACATGCCAATGTTAATGCGCCAAACACTGAAACACTCCTCGTGCCCGTCTCCCAACAAAGTCACCGAGGAATGGAGATCCCGTGCCTGCTTTTGCAATACCTCCACATAAAGATAAAAGTTTCATTTATGGCGTCCTCAACGGCTAGGGATAGCAGTTAGCTTATACATGTCATATCATGGCTACTTCATTATATGAGTCTCATATGTAAATAATTTTTTATTTTACATCTTTTCTCTTTCCTCTCTTATTTTTTTTTATGAGCAGGCCTATAAACTATCTCGTTTTTGATTGAGATAGGTGTTGAGATAAGAGATAGTCTCTTCTCTTTTCCACCTTATCTCTTCCCCCTTAGAAAAGTGATGACATAGATTTCTACAAGCTAGTTGAAGTGACACTGTTGGGACACCCTTAGCACCGCTGATCAGCGTCTTGTTCGTTTGGGCTTATTTGACTGATAAGCCATGGTTGAAAATAATGTTGGCTAATTTGGGGTGAGATAAAAATATTATTCGTTGACTAAAAAAATACGACTTATAAGCCAAATAAACTCAAACAATCAAGGTGCTGGTAGCAACAGGCAGATTAATTAAGCCACAGAAATGTCAAACCATGCATTAGTCCTCGCGCTCCTTTCCTTCAGCAGGGCCAATGATTAGCTGTGGCATATAGTAGTACGTGTGTGGAAGCAGCTTTCGCACGCTTTGTAGCGGCACACGCACCTTTCTTTAGGGGGCCGTTGGAGTGTTCATGAACTCGGCTTCATTCGCTTTTTTTTTTATTTAAAATAGTATTTTTTCGCACAAATTTCTTTAGAATCTCTCTAAATCATCTTAATTCTTTCAGAACCATACCATCTGATAAGACCTATCAGTGGAGGCTAGGCTCTTCAGAGTCTCCTCGGCGAGTACTATCGTCATCATAATCGGTCGGTCGCACAGCCGCACAGGAGTACACACATCTGGGGGCTGGATCCGCTATAATAATCAAAGCGGCTTTGCCTTCCTTCAGCTAGTTCCCTTTCTTTTCTGCCTCTTGCAGTCTAGTTGCTTCTGCTTTGGCAGCAGCAAGGCCACTTTTGGCTTTGCAGAAGCTGAGTTCCTGCCATGTATCGCTGGGACTGCAGTGTTAAGTTGCAAGCCCATAGATCGATCAGTATCAGCAAGTACATGTACACTTTGGTGCAAGTTGCTTGCGCAGGCTGTCAACTGCAGCAGGGCAGCACGAGCTGCAGCAGTGTTCCCCGCTGCTCATCATTCATTTGATGGATTTGGTCCCCGCATCCCCTGATCACCCAATCATTTAGATCTAGCTGTGCAAGAAATAGTGCGAGCTAGAACCTCCAGGAGCTACTTCTACTACCGAACGATGGATTGGATTCGTGCTACTGCGGATGAAGTAGGTAGATTTCATCATGTCTAATACACTATATAAATTCATTCTGCACCCTGATAGATCTTTCTTACCGCTAGTAATAATAATACTAGTAAGTAAACAAACAAGCGAATAAATATTCAGCCTGTTCGGTTGGCTGGTTCGTTAAGTTGCTGGTTCGTGAAGAAGTACTGCTGGCTGGTTTATGTGAGAGAAAAATATTATTCTAGATAAAAATTTACAATCGTTTACGATAAGCCACAGCCGAACGAATAGGCTGATTGTAGTCAAGCTACAATAAAGATGCCAGGTCCTTATAAAAAAATAGAATAAATAAAGACGCCAGGTTAACTAACTACTTCATCCGTCCATAAAAGAACATAATTATGGAATCTGTGTCGGTCAAACTTGTTCAACTTTGACCAAGCTTGCAGTGAATAGTATTACCATTCATGCTTTCAAATAAATTTACTATAAAATATATTCTATATATAACTAATCTAATGATACTTATTTTGTATCATGAATGTCAGTATTTTTTTATATAAATTTAGTTAAAATTCAAAACCGTTGACTTCCCGTAAAGTGAGAATTGCATTCCTTTTTATAGACGGAGTATATGAATCCTCAGGTTAGTCAGTCAATAATAATCAGTAACAAAGGTTATTGCTAGTAGGCACTAGTAGCTACAGAGCATAGTATTGAACTAGTATGGGCGTATGGCAGTGGCAGCCAACTGCGCCTAGAAAATAATTGCCGTTGTACCCAACTCCTAACTAGGAGGAGAGAGGAGCAGAAATCCAAGAGAGGAAGAGTACAATGAAGATACTGTGGGAAGCACAGTGGACGGATACACAACCTTGGGGCGGGCCGGTACAGAGCACATTGCCCGTCTTATCTGCTGGTCCATTTCCATCCAGGTTCCCCACCTTATCTCCCGCAGGGCAACAGTGCAGCTGCCCTCCCGCTCGCTGTTAACAACCCTTCTCTACCGGAGACCGAGAGGGCGAGAGCTTCCACAACCTTCCTCCGATCCTGTAGCCAAGAAACCTAAGGCTGAGCTTCTGAGGAACAAGCAGCGCCAGCAGAAGCAAATCCGTTAGCCGTCGCGTTCGATCAACAGCCAACCTGCTGTTGCGTGTTGCACCGATCGACGTCTGTTCCCAGTTGTTTGCTCACCTTCATCAAGCGTGTCCTGCCGTCGTCCTCTCCTGCTTGCCGCGGGCTCCTCGCGCTCATCCACCAAGCTCCCCGCGCCGAGATGTGAGCGATCCCTTCTCATTCAAGCTGAAGCTTGTCTCTTGATCGGTTCTTGCTTCCTTAATACAGCGCTGATTGTATGCATGTGCGCGTGGTGCAGGTACGACAGCAACGAGTTTGCCGAGCTGCTATGGGAGAACGGGCAGGCGGTGGTGCACGGGAGGAGGAAGCAGCCCGAGGCCGCCTTCCCGCCCTTCACTGGCGGCGCTGCCAGCAGCAGCAGAGCCCAAGAAAAGCAGCCAGGTACCGACCCGGTGGCGCTGTTGAAGACGGGAGGCCTCTTTGGCGACTTCTCTTCCGGCCTAGACGCCACCCGTGACAACGGTGATCTTGATGACAGCGTACCCTGGATCCACTACCCCATCGTCGAAGAAGACAGCGCCGCACCTGCCCTCGCAGAGAGCTACAGCCCAGATTTCTTCTCGGAGCTCCATGCAGCGGCAGTTGCAGCGGCGGCGGCGACGACGAACCTCAGCCCTCTGCCACCACCAGTCCAGCACACCGGCAACAACAGAAGCACCCCGGTTGCCACCACCAGCAGAGGACCAGAACCCTCAAAGGAAACCCACCGCATACCAGTACCAGGTCCAGCCAGCAGGCCTGAGCCACAAGCTGAGTTCGCGGACACCAGGAAACCTCGGCCGGAGAGCGGCGGAGAGGGCTTGATGAATTTCTCCCTCTTCTCTAGGCCAGCAGCCATGGTGCGAGCAAGCCTGCAGAGGCCACCACAGACAGGCACAGACAAGGCGTCCAATGTCACCACGAGCACCCGAGTGGAGTCGACGGTTCTACAGTCGGCCAGTGGACCAAGAACTGCCCCTGTGTTCACGGACCAGAGGACGCCGTGGTCACAATCCAAGGAGGTGCGGTTTTCATGCGCAGCAGCACCGACGGCTGGTAACCTGCATCAAGAGATGCCCCGGGACATGACTCCACAGAAAAAAGTTGAGACCAGGAAGGCTTCTGAGGTTGCAGCCGCTACTTCATCGGTCTGCTCTGGCAATGGTGCTGGAATAGGAAATGACGAGTCCTGGCGCCAACAAAAGAGGAAGAGTCAGGCCGAGTGTTCTGCAAGTCAAGATGATGTAAGCAGAGGATGTGAGATAGCAGTCGAGTATCTGACACCTTGTACCGCTAATAATTAATAAAGCTGGTTTTCTTCAGGATCTTGATGATGGCTCTGGCTATGGTGCTGGAATAGGAAATGACGAGTCCTGGCGCCAACAAAAGAGGAAGAGTCAGGCCGAGTGTTCTGCAAGTCAAGATGATGTAAGCAGAGGATGTGAGATAGCAGTTGAGTATCTGACTGCACACACCTTGTACTGCTAATAATTAATAAAGCCGGTTTTCTTCAGGATCTTGATGATGAGTCCGGTGGGATGCGAAGATCAGGCAGCAGAGGTACGAAGCGCGGCCGCACCGCGGAGGTGCACAATTTGTCCGAAAGGGTAAGCAGGCAATCGATCTCTGTACAGGCTCATTCCTGACTCTCAAGCTCGAGCTGCAATTGAACTGATCGCGTTGTAATGCAACAAACCTGCAGAGGAGAAGGGACAGGATCAATGAAAAAATGCGCGCCCTCCAAGAGCTCATCCCCAACTGCAACAAGGTATGGCAATCCATTTCTACCATCTTTACTTCCTTATCCACCACTTGAATCCGAAGGCATTTGGTAAACTGGTAGCAACAGATGTATCATCTTTTTGCAGATTGACAAAGCCTCCATGCTGGATGAAGCGATTGAGTACCTCAAAACCCTCCAGCTTCAAGTTCAGGTACATTAAAACCACCTAATTCGAAATGTAGCATGATTCTTTCAGATAAATGCAAACATAAATGCACTGATAAGATGGTGGTTATCTTTGACACACAGATGATGTCCATGGGAAGTGGACTGTGCATTCCTCCCATGCTGCTGCCACCAACCATGCAGCACATGCAAATTCCTCCAATTGCTCATTTCCCTCATCTCGGCATGGGATTGGGTTATGGGATGGGTGTCCTCGATATGAACAGCACAGCAGCGATTCCATTTCCGCCCATGCCTTGTGCTCACTTCCCTTGTTCAATGATCCCAGGCACGCCACCACAAGGTCTTGGAATGCCTGGCAGAAACACGATGCCGATGTTTGGAGTCCCTGGGCAAGCAATCTATCCCTCAGCATCTAGCATACAGCCATTCCCATCTTTGGCGGGTCTTCCTGTTAGGCCAAACCTGGCACCTCAAGTTTCAGCCGTCATGGCTAACATGGTGCAGGAGCAACAGCAAGGCGTAGCGACTCAGCAGCAGCAGAGCCTGAATAATGAAGCTCAACAGGGAGCAAATACAGGAGATCCTCAATTGCAGACTATCGTGCAGGTAGCATTTCATAAATAGTATAAAAGTAGATGAAAAGATCTTCACCAATTCTTGTCTGGATCTCTTATATCCAAATTTGACAATGATTCCAGGCTGAGAACCAGCATTTTAGTGTGCCCTCTTCAGCACAAACCGAAAGCAATCAGTTTTTGGATGGTGGTGGCAACAGGACTCATACTGCAGGGAGAAATGAAGCTGAAACATAAAAACAGTCAGCAAGTGCGAGTGTGTGACCTGACTCAATGCTAAACTTGACACAAATCATGGAATTTGGCACAACATTCTTATCCTAATAGAGAACACGGCTGATGATTTTTCAGGTCTCGACTAACAAGCTGCAGATGTGAATATCAGCACAACTCATCCTGGACGAGCTTAACGAGTTTCAAGATCCACGAAGCAGATCTATCACTTGAAAAGAGTCCAATCAATCAAGACAGATTTGGTGGCAGGATGTCTAGCTTTAGCGAGCTAAGATGCTCCAAAGTTTTGTGTAAAATGTAAGTGGTACATGGAACCTGGTTACAAGAAACATTTCTAGACAGCCAGTGCAGTTTTCTAGGTTGTTTTTGGCTTCACTAAGGTTTTCTTGGATCAATATATCTTATTTTCGCAGGCATTCAGCGATCATATGCACAAAGATATCTGTCTCCATATACTGGCTCTGCCTTAACTATATCTCTTCGCAAATAATAATGAGCTAACAACTGTTTAGAGCTGCATTCTTAAGCAAATATGTAACCACATTATTCTGTAGATGTGTGCATAGGGCCAAAAGAGCACTAATATGAAAGTTTTGCAATTTCCAGTAGTGACACCATAGTTAAATATCATTTGAACAACAAGAAGCAGAAATGAATTAATTCACACAGATGATCTGTATAGTCAATATACTTTTAGCCGAAGTTATGTTCTAGACTGTTTAGTTTGCCCCCCCCCCCCCCAAAAAAAAAAAAGGAAAAAGAATAGAAGATGTCATCCATATGCTGGTCAATCAAAGTCTTACTTTAAAGGGTATGTAGTCTGAATTTGAACACAAACTACTGGAGAGATGTCTTAAAAAAAGGAGCTTCTGGAGAGCGTGCAAAAAAGCTCAATCATGAATATATGTTACCTACGTTTGATTACATGTTAGCGACAGCATGTTGACTTCAATTCATCAAGTGTCACCTTTGTTAGCCCATCAGGAAACAAACGTTAAATTATTAATCATAATATAAATCGCATATTATAATTAACAATACTAAAATAAGTTCAGGACCCAGAGCATGCAGCAAGTACAAAGCAAGAATGAAAAGATGGGGCTAAATTTTTATCTGAAATGCTGCACTTGAATAAAGTCTTAAAGTACGTACATCTTTGGCCTAGAAAAAGAAAGCATGCATCACGGTGTACTACTAGTTCATCTGCCCTGGCATTTTCAATCTTATGTTTTTCATTGCCCCACAGCATCACTCTACAGTAACTGTGTAAGAGGATAAGCTAGTTGTGGTATCTAACATTATTGTATCACTTAATGGTGATACAGGATTGCTTTTCCCTACCTATTTTATTCCTGATTTGACATAACTTTGAAGACTGGTGTGGACAGGCATCTGATAGATTCATGCATCTATGCATGTGGAGAAAGCACAAGCAAAGTCCCCTCCCCTCCAATAATTCAGGTCTTATCAGGGCTATGGCCTTGTTTAGATTCTAAGTTTTTTCACTCTCTCTTCGTCACATCAAATCTTTGACACATACATGGAGTATTAAATGTAGATAAAAAAAATAACTAATTACACAGTTTGATTGTAAATTACGAGACGAATCTTTTAAGCCTAGACCATGATTGAACAATAATTGTCAAATACAAACGAAAATACTACAATATTAAATACTGATTTCCAACTATCATCTAACAAGGCCTAGGTTTTGTCGCCAGTTTTCAGGCCTATCTTCAGATCGTCCACTGATGGATCTTGATACCCTCAAATCGAGGAAATGCTATGTGCCTTGCAAGATTAGACCTTTGCCAGCTTATCCGACGCCTATCTTTTCTTTTCCCCTCTGCTTTATTATTACCGACATTTTACTACTCCATCCCGACTTGCAACTTTTGGTCAGCACCTATCCATGCCCTGATCATCTACAGTAAGGAAAATCACAGACAACGATACCTAAGAAAGGAAACACTAATGTACATATATTCAAGGACTGAAGTGGGTCAAGAAATGAAAACATTTCATGTGGTGTCAGACAGAAATAAACATGCACATGACAAGATAACTCTATTGTCTTTATTATAGATATTATTCCCGCGATACCTGGAGTTGTACTATGACGGAGTCAACAATCACAATCAAGCCACACAGTTCATCTTACTGAGATCCTTCTGCATGGGATTCTTCAGTTTGCACCACAGAAATCATAGTAACAACTTGTTTCTAACCAAGCAGTGCAGGCAACGGCACATAACAATAATTGTAAGCCAAAAGCTCATTTCCGTTTTGTACAATTCCAACTAAGTATATCACTTCAAAAATATGTTCTCCACCACATCAAAATAAGCACTCATATTGCATACACCCCAATTTCTTTGGGAACTGCCTACATTTAGTTGGACAGCTGTATCTGCCCTACATGTTGATGTCATGACCGATGGCATTTCAAACTCTGGTGCTTAACACCTGATAGTTTTGACTTGAATTAAAATAATAATTTGCACAATATAATACAAATAATAGTTGCATGTCGGTGGACAATAGATAATTAAAATTTGTTGAAGCACGATGTTTTGTTTAATATTTAAAAGCTACATAGACTACGTTAACTTTTTGTCAAACACACAAATGGGGTTCAAATTTGCATACAAATCAAGGTGACCAAAGCAGAAATTTGCCTCTTTCAATAAAGTATAATCTAGTAGCTAAGACATAAACACTGGCCAGAAGCTGGAAATGGGGGCTTAAACAGTTCTAAGAACCCCACTACTGCCTACCATAACCTCCTGGTGTGATATTAGGTTAAAGCAAGTACACGGTGGCTAGCCAAATTATCTAATTAATAAGAAAGGTATGGCCCAGCACAATTGTTTGCATGTGCTGTTTTCTTTTCATCCTCACATCATAGAAAAAGGACCTCAGATACGCATGAGTCACTTTCAGGCTTTATGTTCCTATTTTGAGACTCTGATAAACTATTAGCACTAGCATTATATGTAAGTGGTACAAATAAAAATGCTTTATAATAGCTTAAAGAAGATTTCTTAACTTAGAAGCCCAATAGACGACAACAACAACAACAGCAGCAACAACAACAACATAGCCTTTCAGTCCCAAGCAAATTGGGGTAGGCTAGAGTTGAAACCCACTAAAAGCCCCAATGCACGGTTTAGGCACTTTAATAGCTGCTTTCCAAATACTCCTATTCAAACATAGATATCTAGGTATATCCCAAGCTTTCAAATATCTTTTTATTACCTCCCCCATGTCAATTTCAGTCTTCCTCTGCCTCTCCTCATATTATTAGCTTGACTTTGGACTCCACAATGCACTAGTGCCTCTGGAGGTCTCCTTTGGGCATAGCGAAACCACTTCAACCGATGTTGGACAAGCTTTTCTTCCGATATGGCGCGTTGCTAAGAGGGTTACGCCCCAACAGGATTCTTTTAGGTTTTATCTCCATTAAAGTGGCTAAGTTTTTACATTGGCTCGCCGCGCCTAACACAACCCTCCTCCTTTACCAGAGCTTAGGACCTGCTATGCGGAGTTCCCCATAGACTCACCAATTAAATAGATTATTCAAGCTTCTGGATTTATGATTGCTGACCTCTCTCATATGGAGAAAGACTGGTCTGGAAAAGGCCAGCATCATCATGTAGAATAGATATCAGACCAATCACTTCTGTTGCCAATACTTAATAAGATCCACCTGCAGATGATCCATCCATTCTTCTCCCTTCTCCATCACCATTCAGGTAGCAATGATAAGAACGGCTCACAGTTCAACAAAGCCGGTTCATTTTTATAGGAAGTCAACTTTATGAAAGGATGAACTTAGAACCTGCCACATTACAAATCAACATCACAAAGAGTGATATATTTCAGTGATTCCTAAAAAGCCCTATGCCGTTTACACAAAATTCTCCTATGATAAGATGTGTTCTTCAATTTCTTCCGAGAGAGGCCATATACAAATATGAACCACAGGTTCAGTGCACAGAAAATAACCAAATTTGTAGACAGCATAATAAAGAGCTGAATGCGAGCATATAAAGTAAAATGCCAGTAACTAAATGATATGCATCAAACAGTATATGAACTAAGTTATTAGGGTATTGAAACCACCGTTTTAAAAAAGTAGGAGGTGAACTATTGAGGCTCAATAAAACAGCAGGCATCATTGCACTCATGTCAGGAATATATCTGCAACAGAATTTCCTTTTTATAAGGATGTTGTCACAAGAAACATAACACACACTGATGGGACCAGATGATTTGACTAGATCACACTATGTACAGGTCAAATTGATTAAGTGAAAAATGGAGCGTTTAGATGGGCTCCAGTCTAATGCTTGACATGTTATGGCTCAATGATTCAACCTCTTCATCAGGTGATTCCTCGTTGGAAGGTGCCATTGGTTCTTGAACATGAATATGAGGGATGTCATCCTGCAATTCTGCTTCAAGCTTGCTGAACTCTTCCTCAATATCTCCTTCATCATCTAACGACTGGAGAGGTACTGATTCTGCAAATAATCCAGTCAGAATGTCACAGAAAAAAAATAGAAACTATGTTGAAAGTTCGTTAATCCTTTTTAGAGATGAGTGTAAACCAAAGGCTTACATAGAAGTACATGGGGCATATAAGTATTACTGTATTAGCCAAAAACAGTGCAAACTCGATCTAGACTGACACTAACACGATTATTTCTAATTTTCTATAACTTATCCAATCATACATGTGAAGTTTGCAGTGGAACCAAGGGTAACACAATGCATGGAGTTCATTGTTCCAACTAGGCAACTGAGAACATGATCATTAATGTTGCATGTTTACAGGCCAGAAACAATTCATGTCTATCTCTCGTCTATACAGTAGTGCATGCAGATAACAAAAAGGCAAGAAAAAAGGCCACATGATGAAGTAATAGTGATCACATTATTTAACAATACTACCTCTAAAACATAGTAGTTCTCCAAAACAAATAAAATGAAAATAAGTCTGAACCATCTGCATTGGTCAGCTTGGTGACTAGATTGTTGGACTTATGTTGGCCAAGGCCAAGTTGGATATGGGCAGAATTGGGCTGGATAAGGTTTTAACTAGGTTGAGCTTATATTGGTCTCATGTAGGCCTAACTTGGGCACAATTTACCAAATTAGTTTAGATTGGCCGGAATGAAAAAAAAAAACTACCAATCTTATGCCCAGTGTCAAAATCATACCATTGTCTTTACCTAAATAGAGAGAGCTCTGTATGCAAGTTACACTTCCTTAAGCTTGTTAGATAAAAGGTTAATGTTCATTTTATAATCTCCAACTTGCACATTGGTCCGAATTTCAATCCTCAGGCTACGAAACTGGGCACCGGACACCCTCAAACTGTTGAAACTGGACAAATTTGGTCCTCTACTTGGTTTCAAAGGTGGTTTTCCATTTTCTAAAAATAATAAAAAGCCAATTTTAATCTCTAAAAATTCATAAGTAATTTATCTTAAATCAAAAAAATGTGAAACCAGTATCTTTTTTTTCTAAAAATGTCATCTATCTTTTGGTGCTCTTTTTAGACTTTTTTTAATCTTATTTGTTCATGTTCTTAGTGTTTTATTACACAAGCAGTAAAAAAGAGGAACAAAATAAATAAGTTCCAAATAAATCTAAATAGATTCACCAACAGATATACAACATTTTTAGAAAAAAATTGGTACTAGTTTCATATTTACCTGATTTAAAATAAATAATTTATGATTTTTTAAGATTAAACCAGATTTTTATTATTTTTAGAAAATAGAAGACCACCTTTGAAACCAGCTAGATGACTAAATTTGACCATTTCCATAGTTGGAGGGCATTCGGTACCCTGTTTCGTAGTTCATGGTTGAAAATCATACTGCCGTGCAAGTTGGAGGTTAGAAAATGGACTTCACCCTAGATAAAACCCTTAGCTCTAGAATTCCTAGTAAAAGAACCACAAACAACTTACCAAGGACAGCATCAACTTCTCTTTGTGCAGCAACAAGCTCATCAACCTCCTTCATGTGGATGCTAACCTCATCTATGCTGACATTGTTATCCTTCATTGCCAGGATACCAATTTGTATTGCCTCATAGACCTAGTATCATGTACAGACTACAGAATTAATTATGCTATACAAAGACGTCATTGTTTGTGATATCTATATACACATAATGTAACTACTCATCATATAATTATAAATTTGTAAGAAATATCACACCTTCTTATTTGATTCAGCACTAGCAATTAGGCTGATGACTTCTTCAATCCTTTCCAACAACTGTGTGCATCTGCTCCGGCTTTGTGAGAATAATTTAGACTGCCTCACATAACGATAAGCAGCTTGTTTATCTCCGGACTTGAAGGATGCCAATGCCCTTCGCCTTGAACTATCACAAGATAATTCTTTACAAATCAGAACAATTTTAGAACTAGCATTTATCAAAATCCACTATGACCATACTATGTTCATGGAGTTCAGTATTAACCCATAGCGCACAACCTTATTCAGTTTATGATTTAATCTAGACCTCCTTATTGCTATATTATCATACCGATAATTGCGTGACATAATTTTAACACTGGACAACATCCAGCATTCCAGCAGCCAAATGTAGGAATTTGAGAGCCTAAATTTTTTTTGATATCACAAATACAAAAGGCAGAAAGGAAGCAGCAGTATCAGAAAGGCATGAGGAAGTGATGGAGAATCCAATAGCATGAAGTTGTCAAATCTGGTAGCAGGAAGCAATGGACTGGGTAGCCCCTTCCCAATTCATAAGGTCATATATGGAAAATCATAATAGCCTATTCAATATTTACTTGCGGTGCTATTGATGTGTTGAAAATAGATGGATCACGTTCGGGGAACCAGCAATATTAAATCTTGTGTGCACTTCTATGTACAAAACTGGCCAAAGAAGTGTAATCTGCTGGGATGTGCAAGGATCAAAAAGGCGACACCTCCTCCCCGCCTAGGAGCGCCTAATCGCTGGGCGATGGGGTCCCGCCTGGCCTATGGGGGTAGGCGGACCCCTAGGCGCTCCCATCCCCGCCGGACGAGCTCCTCCAAGCCGGGCGCTCGCATCCCCGCCGGACGAGCTCCTCCCGCCGAACGCCCTCCTCCCCGCCGGACACCCGCCTCCCCGTCGGGCGCGCTCCTCCCCGCCGGACACCCGCCTCCCCGTCGGGCGCGCTCCTCCCCGCCGGACGCCCCCTCCCGCCGGGCACTCCCCTCCCCACCGGTCTCCTCCCTAAGCGGCAGCAGCCAGCAGGTCAGTCTGTCCTCCCCTGCTCCTCTCCTCTGTTTTCTTTGAACTTTGAAGTGGTCTGAATGACTGAATCTGAAGCCTCTGAATGACTGAATCTGAAGCCTGCTCCTCTCCTCTGTTATTTGACTGAATCCTTTGATGGCTGCATGTATGTATCTGTGATTGCCTGAACTCTGAATGTATAGCTGATTGACTGAATGACTGATGGACTGAATGTATAGCTTAGCTAGTTAGCTGATTGACTGAATGCATAGCTCAGCTAGTTAGCTGTCACTTACTAACTTGTTAGTTTACACGCTGAATGCAAAATTAGTAAAACGCCTAGAAAAACGCCTTGAAACACCTAGGCTAGCCTAGGCTCACTTAGGCTCTAGGCCGTGGGTCGTCGCCTAGAAACCGCCTAGCGCCTTCTTGAACATTGGGGATGTGTACTCTTCAGGAGTTTGCATTCTATAGAAGGCAACCAATACGCGCAAGGCTGTCCTTTTGAAAGTTGAAATACATGACAGCTACATTTAAACTGCAGAGACCAAATTGCGAAAATACTTACATCTCCCATCGGCGATCAAGCACATCAAGCTGTCCTTGCAACTTCTCTTCTGTCCAGACTAAGTGCAAGGTGTCGTGGTCAAGTTTGGATACAGCAGGAACTTGTGAAGCAGTGAGTACAAACTTGACACCCTGCAGGCATGAATCCAACTGAACAAAATGCAGCATGGTAGTGGGCACTTGCTTCAGCAGAATAACAGAATGCACGAGAAAAAGGGAGCATACCTCAATAGGGTCTTGTTTCCTGCCCGAAAGGTACCTAGCTTTCCCATATTGCGTCAAAAAACATAATGCGACATGAGCATCCTCCCGGTCAACAAAGAAGCTATTGAATTTGCTAATCGTAACAACACATGTCGATGTCCAATGAGAGTCACTCAATTGCCTAGCAATATCAGCAGCCCGTTCCTGCAATCAACTAGCAGCGAAACAAATAAGAATTCCTGCATTCTACCAAGCAAAGAGCCTTGGGTGCAGCATTTTCACGTACCTCAACCAACAATTTGAACACGAGGATGTCCTCCTGCGAAACCGACCTTCTGGAGCCGATGGCCATCAGGCTCACCCTCCTGACCAGCTGGTGCAGGCTCCTTGAGGACGGATCGATCAGCTCGGATTTCAGCAGTATGTCCCCATCCGCACGCATCTCTTCCTGAAAAAATGCCCAAAGATTCAAAAAGCAGTTCCCATGACCTACCGCAGCAACAGGAGAATCCGAGACAGTCGCGGGACGGGCAGACCAGAACTTGCGGCAAGCAGAGCGGCGTGAGCCCTCCGGGGCGCGCGAACCAAGCGCTCGTCACCTGCAGTTTGTCGGCGTCGCCCCGTCAGAACATTCAGAAGAGAGGAAGGGAGCTCAGGTGGGGCAGTGGGCGAGGACGCCTACGAGGTGGGCAGGGGCGGAGCAGACGCGGAGTCGCCGGGCGACGCGGAGGAGAAGGTCCTTCCAGAAGAGGACCGTGGGCTGGGGCCAGTCGCTGCGCTGCCCCGTGAAGGCCTTGAACCTGGCGCGGAGGTCGGCGCTGTCCGGGTCGTCCCACCAGGCGACGGCGCCCACCTCCGCCCGCACCGCCGCCTCCCACCCGACCCCGGCCCCGGCCCCCTCGCCGGAAGCCATAGTAACCGAGAGGCGAGACGGTGCTGCGGCCGTGGGCTCGGCCGTCGGCCCCCGGAGCCGGAAGCGATACGAATTGCGGAAGCGGGCTTGGAGACCGGCGCCGAGGGGAAAGACCGAGAGAGGGACACGGAGGAGAAGCAGGATTGCAGGAATGGGGGAAATTTTGCTGGGCCTCGGTTTTGCGACCGTTGTTTCAAGTTGTAAGGCCTGAGTGCCTGACCAGTTATCAAAAAAGGCCTTTTTCTGGCCCAGTTTCAACCAGGCCTTGAAGCCCATAAATTCTATCTAACCAGGCCATCACAGCCCAAGCGTTTCCAGGGCCGCTCCGAGCCCATACCAGCAGTTCACTCGCTTCGATTGGTCTCGAGGGCTCGCGGGACAGAGGGACGGACACGTACGTGTCGTCGTCGTCCCAAAGCAAGCACGGCACTAATCGCGGGACATGTTAGCGTGTTTGGATTGTGACTGGCAGGCAGATTCTCGTCCAGGCAACGATCGTGACCCTAGGCGGACGAAATCCTACGTCTGGGATTGCTCGCCTGGGCAGGCGTTGCCTGGGAGGCTTTAATCCAAACAGGCAGATTCTCGTGCAGCAGCCTTGAGCCGTCGCTGTCTAGATGGAGCGATGGGCGACGTCCCGCGGACGGCACTGACCGAAGTAGCCAAGACCTCTAGCGTGTAGCCTCTGTCCGATGACAGGCACCCAGGCATACGCAACAACTAACTCGGCTCGTTATTACGCCCATAACTGCAGTGTGCGTGCACCACGCTGTACCTAACGATGAAGAATCTTCCGTTACGTTCCCAGCTGGTCTGTTAACGAATAACGAGAATCTGAGGCACTCCTAATCTGCAGCAACTTTTTAAAGACCGCAACCCCAAGTTGAGAATGGGCCTGTTCGACTAGTATTAAAGCCGGTTTATCAGCCGGCTGAAGCGGTTTTGTTGTGAGAAAAAATTCTATAGATTCTAGTTGATAAGCCGGCTAATAAGTTCGTGAACAGGCACATACTCCATCAGATATCAGACACGTCTTCCTTGGCGTCACTGCCGGCAATAACCCGCGCTAGCTATGCGCTGCCACTGATCTGCCCGCGCTTGCTTCGCCTGGCAGTTGCCATGCACCACCGATGGAGCACCACCGACGACGTTCCGTGTTGGTACCTCGCTCCGGTCAGCAACAACGACGACGAGCCATCATTTCACCGGTCAGCAACGACACGTCGCTGTGCAAGATGATGACTGATCGAACGGAAGGAATGCAAGTCTTGTCATATATTATATTATTAACGGCCTTATCTCCCATGAATCTAGCTATTAACGGCCTTATCTTTAGGCCGTTTGATGACGACGGGCAACGGCTACACACTGCGCACGCGCGTAGCGCACTAGCTATGTACTAGTAGCAACAAACTGTCTTCGATTCGTGTATTAATAATGTGCTCGTGCTAACGGTACGATAAAAATACAAAATGAGATAAAATTTGTAATAAAAAAACACAATCAGATTTATTAAAATTCATATCGGTAGGCGGCGGAGTGGAGCGCCCGCCTGCCCCAGCAAGGAGGCGCGCGCGGCGGGTGATCGAGCTGGAAAGGTGTCGTGGGCGTAAGTACGTACTACGTGATGATGAGCAGGGCGACACCACGACGACGACGACGACTGCTGCCAACATCGAGCGAAAGGAGAGCAAAGCAACTGTAGCTCGGCGTGACCGTGTGATCAATCAGGGTAGTACGTGTATTAATATTAGCCGTTCCCGGTGTCATCTTGTGTTTGAGAGTTTCCTTCTCAAGAGTACCGTAGGACCTGCTGCTAGGTCATGCATATCGATCGACGACGCATATGCATTTGTTTTGTTCCTTGTCTACACGTGTTTGGACCATGAGCTTGATGCTGCGTTCAACAACACTATCATTGCGATGAGACGGACGACATTGTTGATCGATCATCATCTCTGTTGGATACCGCAAAAGACCGTGTTCACGTCTACCCTACCTGTGTATCATTGCCTCTTCTTGATAATCGGCATATTTCTCTGTGGTGCGTAATAATAAGTACTCCTTTTATTATAAAATTGTACTAATAAGTTGTTCTGGCTTTTTGCTATCTAGAAGAAAAGCCATAACAATTCACAATTTAGAATAAAGCGGGTGTTTAACTATAAAAAATGTGTGTGCGTTTTAGTGAAAGAAAAAAAAAGCTATCAAACATTTATAGAAAAATAACAATGAAAATGATACATATTTATTTATGCTTTTTATCCTTCCTAGAAAATTTCAAAACTATAATTTATTTTATGATAACCATGAATCTATAATATAATAATTAAGTTAATATTGTCAAAAATATAACGGTATCCTATTAGGTATGCATCGAATTAAAATACAACCTTAATAGCTTTTTTCTATCATTGCGAAACACAGAAATATTTAGACGCAAATACATCACAACTTTAATTTTTATATTATCCATGTGTTTCTATACAATTGTATTTCGAGCTCCACGACTTTCTTTAAGGACCCTAAAAATATGTAGTTCTAGATTCTAATTAATGTCGGCAAGAAGTTAGTCATCAACATGTCAAGAATTAGTTTGACCTCTCTTAATTCTCATATGGCAGTCCTCATCGAGATTTTTTTTTTTGAAAGAAACTGTGGAGCAATAGCTCCCCAGCACAACACCAAATATACTAAAACGATATAGGGGTACAGAGAGACGCTTACAGAACAGGGTAAAAGAGCAGCTAGCCAAGAGCTAACTAAGCGGAACCCCTACACAAGAGACTAAAGAAGAATAGCAGACTATAAATTATTGAGCCAATTCATTACAGACAAGTGAAAAGAAGGACCGATTCTATGCAAATGAAGTTTAGCTTCACTTGAGAAGGACGACTTCCAAGAAGACAAAGAAGGAGACGTGCCATTGAAAATCCATGCATTTCTCTCATTCTATATGCACCATGCGGCAATCATGTAGACTTCCATGAAGAAGGGCAGCTTTAGAGTTTTCTTTTGCTGCTCGATCATCTGAAAAATGGTACCCTGTATATTCCAGACAAATCGAGATTGTGAGATATATTTGTTGGTTTGATCTCCCAACCACAGTGGCCCAACCGCCACTTGGGCCTTGACCTCGCGCCCTGATTGGGGGCGCCCAGTCCATCTATGGCTAGTGGGCCCCCGTCACACTGCGCATTAAATAGAGGTGGGGCCGGCGGCTCTCGGTACGAGGTTCGCCTGAGCCGCACGCTCCACCTAGAAACCCTACTCCGATCTAACAGAAGGGCGCAGCCAGTGACGGGAAGCACCGCCGCCGCCACTGCACTGCGCCACCACGGTCTTCACTGCGTCGCTCTCTCTTCTCCGACCGTCGCTGTCCGTGTGCTGCCTCCATCAACGAACCAGCGATGGCCGGATCGAGCTCTAACTCTACGGGATCTACTGGTCTGTGAACTCCTCATTCTACTCACTGCCTCAGATTGATGCTGCGTTCAACAACACTATCATTGCGATGAGACGGACGACATTGTTGATCGATCATCATCTCTGTTGGATACCGCAAAAGACCGTGTTCACGTCTACCCTACCTGTGTATCATTGCCTCTTCTTGATGATCGGCATATTTCTCTGTGGTGCGTAATAATAAGTACTCCTTTTATTCTAAAATTGTACTAATAAGTTGTTCTGGCTTTTTGCTATCTAGAAGAAAAGCCATAACAATTGACCATTTAGAATAAAAGCGGGTGTTTAACTATAAAAAATGTGTGTGTGTTTTAGTGAAAGAAAAATAAAGCTATCGAACATTTATAGAAAAATGACGATGAAAATTATGCATATTTACACTACTAGAGAACAGACTTTTGAACGATGTCCCAATTGGCATTAGCCTCGGCATTTTTTACCGCCGGGACTAAAGGATCCTTTAGTCCCGGTTCGTAATACCAACCGGGACTAAAGGTCCCTGCCCAACGGTCGTCCGCGTGGCAGGGATCTTTAGTCCCGGTTTGGGTGATACCCCGGGAATAAATGTTAATCTTTAGTCCCGGTTTGGCCATCTAACCGGGACTAATTATGCGGGCCTATACAACGGCTTATTTCTTCCTCCTCGAGCCCGAGCCATTCCATTCAAACTCACTGCCTCTGTTCTTCAGCTTGCTGTTGTTCTTGCTCTCTCCCCCTCCATTGGTGTTGCTCTTCGATTTTGGAGGTAACAAACTTAATCTTCTTATGTTTTATCAGTAGCTTATCTCATTTTGCGATGTAGATGCATGTGTAACTTTATATGTTGGACTTTATTATGATTTTATATGTCATTTTTAGCTCAAAATCACATGATGATTTGCATATATGTTTGGATAAACAAAAGTTAAATTAGTTCATCAAAATCACGCCTCGCTTTCGTCCTCATTTGGAGCACGCGCCATCCTCATCCCCGGCTTTACGTGATCTTAGAATTAATTTTTCATGAAATGAAAAACTTAGAAAATAGTTAGAAAATTGTAGAAAATCCGTACTAGTTGAACTTGCGGACCGTGATCATCTCGACGAGCATTTTCTCTGCCGAGCGGTAACGGACGTCAAGGAGGAGCTTTGATTCTACGAGGGAGAGCGACAACGGCCGTGGAAGACCGTGTTCCTTCCTCGTAGAATCGAGCTCTTCCTTGGCCAAGTACGGTGCCGTCCCGGTGGAGAAATGCTCACGAGATGATCACGTAAGCAATGTCAACTAGTACGGATGGTTATTTATTGAAACATGTTTTTGAGCTATGTGATTTCTATGTCATTTTTAGCTCAAAATCACATGATGATTTACAATAGTAAAATCACTTGATAGTTTGGTATTTTACTATTATACATAGTTCATATTTCATGATTTAGTTAGATAAATAAATAATTTTAGTTTTGTTTAAATATATTATTTTAGAAAATGTGAAATTTACAGTAGTTTACAAAAATAAGTATAGAAAGTAGATGACAACTGGTACCGGATCCTCAGC